TGTACTAGGTACTTATTGCTGGGACAAAATCAACTTGATTGAAAGCAACTTGATGATGGAAGGTTTATTCCTGGTCACGTTCTGCTGTCACCGTCCACGTGATAGGGGAGGCATGGTGGCAGGAGTGTGAGGCAGCTGGTCACAGTTGGGAGGGAGGGAGAAGGGGATGCTGGTGCTCACCTCCTTTCTCCTCCTCTTTAGTCTAGGACTCCAGCCCATGGAATTAAACCCCAACAGTGTACAGTGATTCCCACTTCAATTAGCTTGATCTAGAAACATCTTCAAGACAATTCCAGAGATGTATATAGAGCCTGGATGGTTCTGGATGCTGCCAAGTGATAATATTAGCCACCACAGACGGGAACTACTGTGTTTGGTGTTCTCGGCGTCCTCAAAGAATGTGCAAAATCAGGGGAGAGTGATGTGATGTGGAGATAATCCCCCGCGAAGGAGTAGTTCAGGGAAAGGGGTTCTATTGGAAACTGTCTATCCACTACTCCAGCCGTGAGTCCTGGCAATAGTTCACATTGTCTTCTGGTCTATGGACTCTTCTGTTACCAAGTTTATAATGTCACTACCAAGCCTGGAGGGAGATTACCCTTATCACGCTGTCCTAGTTGGCTTTAACGGCTATCAACTTGACATAGTTTGGAGTCATTTGATTAGGATGTCTTAACAAGAATAACCTAGATCATATTAGGCCATGTCTGTGGGGGCACTGTCTAGATCAGTTCATGGAGGAGGGCTCAGCCCACTGTAGGCGACACCATTCCCTGGGCAGTAGTCCTGAGTTGCATAGGAAAAGCTAAATAAACCTAAGTCTGAGACTGAGTCAGCAGGCAACATTCCTTCACGGCTCCTACTTCAAGGTCCTGTTTGAGTTCTTGCCCTGACTTCCTTCAGGGATGGACTGGGACCTGGAGGTGTTGACAAATCAACCCTTCCCTCCCCTGCATTGCTTTTGATCAAAGTGTTTGGTCCCAGTCACAGAATGAAAATGAGCACGCCATGCCCTTTTTAGTTGGGGAAAGTGATGCTGGGGTTTGGACCAGCTGTCTTGAAACACTTCAGGAGATCCTGCCTGCGCATCTTGCCATCTCCAGTGTCTGAAGTCAAGCTGCACAAGGCTCTGGTATTCTTCAGTGCTCTCTGCCATGACTGAGTTTTTTTTTTTTTTTCAGAATATATAGGACTGGGTAGGATAACTCAGAGGGCTTGGGTGTTGTGTGATGGGAAAGGACTTAAAACACAAAGCATTTGGATTTGACTGAAAACTTGTTTTTATTCTCTCCATGGAAGGAAAGCAGAGGCTGGAGGGGAGGGCAGATTAATAAGGATATAAGAGACACGAGCTTCCTGTTCTCTCGAAGTCTTAACGATGTTCGTGGATCCACAGAAGGGAGGGCTGTCAGGAGCTGCAGGGGCCTCATAGCCAACCCAGCTCATTTTACACAGGAGCAAATTGAGACCTCTGGTTTTGGCTGCCGACATAATTAGCTACTAAGGCTGGCCGGGAGCCTGGAGTCGTTGCTTGCAGGCTGGTCTTTCTCTTTGCTGGATCCACGTGTGTTTGCAGAAAGCATTCCCACATGATGAGCTAGTATTAATAACTGATTAGAAATCACTAGTAAGACTTGGTTCTTACTTTTTAAGGTTTACTTTTGTTTTTAGTGATATATATATATATATATGCTTTTATGTCTAGGAGCACAGGTACCCTTGGAGGCCAGGAGCTGATGTTGAATGTCCTGGCACTAGAGTTATAGGTGGCTGTTAGTCATCCAACCTTGGGGCTGGGAGTTGGACTTGGGTCCTCTGTTAACTGTGGAACCATCTTTCCAGCCCCATAATTCTCTTTTATTTTTAATTTAGTCCTATTTAGTTAATGCATGTGGTGTTTTGCTTGCCTGTGTATCTGTGTACCAATTGTATGCCCGGTGCCCACTGATGTCAAAAGAAGGAATCCGATCCCTTGAAACTGGAATTACAAACAATTGTGAGCTGCCATGTAGATAGTGGGACTTGAACCCAGGCCCTCTACAGGAACAGCCAGTGCTCTTAACCACTCAGCCATCTCTCCAGCTTTTCAGTACTACAATATTTACTCTGTTGATACTGATGCATTTGCAGCAATCTGCTCGCTCTCTGTCTAGCGCCCCCTAAAGTATGAGCAGGGAACACATGGAGATGAGAAGTCTGTGACGAGACAGTTGGGAGAAGAGTGTGTGCACATGCATGTTGCACACGCACTGCTGTGCATGCCTGTGCACACGCACGGAGGCCGGAGGATTTTGGTGGGTGTCCTGCACTATCCCTATCGCCTTGTTCGCTTGAGACAGGGTGTCTCACCAAACTTGCATCTAGGCTGATGGCCAGCAAGCCTCAACCATTCTCCAATTTTAGCCCACAGTGCTGTGCTGTGCTGCATGCCATGAAAAAGGGGTGATGGCTTACTGAATAGTTAGCAGACTGAGAGACAGGCATGTCTGTGAATGGTGAGACATTTTTTCTGGGGTCTATGTAAGCTGTAATCTCTGCAATCTACATAACTATCAACCTTGCACAACTTCTATATGATAGACTCATTTGAGAAGCGTCTCAGTGAGGACTCATGTAGATGCAGTTGGCCAGTGGGCGTGTCTGGGGGGGATTGCTAATTGTTAATTGATTGTTGATTGTTAATTGATGTGGGAAGACACAGCCTGTTGTAGGTGACACCATTCCATGGGCTGGATCCTGAGCAATAGAAGACCGAAGAAGGCCAGCTAAGTATGGGCACATTCATTTCTTTCTGCTCTTGACTGTGCATATGTTCAGCTGCTGGGGTCCTACCCTGACTTCACTGCAGTGATGGACTTTGACCTGAAGCCATGCCCCCGACCAAACCCTTGCCTCCCTTCCATTGCTCTTAGTCAGGGTGCCTGATGACAGCAACAGAAATGAAATTAGGAGTGAGCTCAAAGGGCGAATGTGTCTTTGGCGAGGAAAGAGAAAAGGAAGTTGTTTAAGGGAGAATCTCAGGATGGAAGAGTATGATTACCTGGGAAACAGTCCTAGGGATGACAAGGTCGAATCCCCTGGAATCCCAAATGCTCCCCTGGAAAGAATTCTTCGGTGTGATTGAGTTAAGGTTCTTGAAATATGAGCTGTCTTGGATGAGCTGGGTGGTCCCCAAATCAAATGCAAATGTTCAGATAAGAGGGAGGTGGGTTGGTGGGAATACAAACTGTAGCAGTCACCGTGGGTCCCCCACAAACGAAAGACACAGCTAGGGAGACGGCTCAGTGGCGAAGAACACATGCAGTTCTTCCATAAGACCTAACTTTGATACCTAGTACCCATACTGGGTAGTATAGCTGCCAGCTCAGGACGGTCAGGTGCTCCCCCGGCCTCCTATGGCACCTGCACGCATTGCACACATTCTTCCCACCCCACTTATTCATAACTTCCTTTATGATTGAGTGTTATTACTCCTGGGTATTTGCCCAAAGGAATGGAAATCTAAGCCTGTATACCACATTTATACTTGAACACTTGTGATGATGGTTGCGCTAGGCACAATCGCTTGAATGTTGGCCCAATCTCTATGTATGTCTACAAATGATAAAGGAAACGCAGTACCTATACACAATAGGGTGTTATGGTGCCTTAATGAAGAATTGAGTTATGTGTTTGCAGGAAGCTGAAGGTTAAGTTAACTGAAATAAGAGGGACTGAGAGAGACAAATATCATGGACTTCAGTGCCCATGTTTGTGCAGTCAGTACTCTTACCACTGAGCCTTCCCTGCAGCCGCCCTACGCTGGAGTTTTTTTTGGAGCAACTCCAAGCGGCTGCAGATCCCATGTTCTTTTGATACCCGGGATGGACCTCTTTTCTTTAAACTCTGATCTTGAATTTCTCATGCCTTGCAAAGGGGGACATGATGAGAAATGTCCACTTAATCCAAGACTGCCAGCGTTGGAGGCTCGGGGCGGGGGGATGGGGAGTAGGTAGAACCCAGAGTAAAGAGCGGGAGACCTCCTGCCATGTGAAGTGATTCGAGGGGATAGCAGAGCCCAGTTCTTTTCCAGACCAGGGAGAAAGTGATTAAAGTTGTCGTGAAGCTCTGTGACATTGGTGTTGAGCTGCGGCTGTTTATAAAACAACTGCAGATTAAAGGGACGAAATGGAAACAGTGGGAGCCTCACCTCGTGTCCTCTGAGGTTATTAAACGCTGCGTGTCACCAGCAGCAGCAGCAGGGGGACTCTCACATTCTCCCCCACCTCCCGTCATTTCTGCGAAGCTCACACAGTCTCTCCCTTTATCAAGGCAATTTTCTGCTGGGGTCCCCACCTGACTGTGCCTACGGCACAGTGTGCAGACATTTAGGGCGAACTGCCTCTTGCTTTTCTTTTTCTCTCCCATTCTTCTCTCCCTCCTTTATTTTCCTGGATCTTCTTTTCTTCCCTTCTCTTTCTCTACAATTTTATTTTTATAATTATTTATGTGTGTGTTTGTGTGAGCGCATGTGCACATGTGTGAGGTCAGAGATTTACAGGTCAGAGATCGACTTTGGGGTTCTTCCTCAGTTATTTCTCCACCTTATTTTTCCATTTATCTATTTATTATTTTGAGACAGAATTACATGTGGTTGAGTCTGGCCTGTGTCTTGCCACAGCAGCACATAAGCCTAGGTTATCCTTGAACATCTGATCCTTCTGCTTCCACCCTTCCTTCTGAGGGCTGGGGTTACTACTGAGCATCAGGATGCCCAGTCTACACAGTGCCTGAGTTGGAACCCTGTGGCTCCATGCATGTCAGGCCAGCACTCTATCAACTGAGCCTCATTGCTACACTCTTTCTTTCTGAAATCGTTTTTATCATGTGTCTAGTCATGGCAACAAGGAAGGCAGCAAGCCTCCTACTGGTACAGCAAGATGCTACTGTTAGTCACTCGTGGTTTGATGGCAATGAAGTGGCCACGTGACTGGTGAACTTTCTCTGCTGTTTCCTTGCAGAAATCCGAGAAGCCTTTCGTGTTCTGGACAGAGATGGGAACGGTTTCATTTCCAAGCAGGAGCTGGGTATGGCCATGCGCTCTTTGGGGTACATGCCGAGTGAAGTGGAGCTGGCTATCATCATGCAGCGTCTGGACATGGACGGTGAGACCTGCTTAGTACCGCCAAGCTGCGCCTCCGCCTCCTTCCCTGGGTCTGGGATGTGTACAATCGCCCGCTCAAGTCCCCGCTCAGTTTACACGTTAGGAATAGAAAGCTTGAACTTGATCTGTTTGTGCAACAGGACCGTGTGAGCGGGACAGCTTTGGCACAGTTACAGGACTAGAGAGATAGAGCTGATTTGGTTGGTTAAAAAATTAGATTCTCCTTTCCATTCCCTCCCATTTTATTTTATTCGTTTCCTTATTTTTAAGGGTAGAGAGCTCAGTGGTTGAGAACATAGGTTCTTTCATTAAGATTCTGTTTACAGTACCCATGTTGGATGGCTCACCACCATCTTTCAGCCCTTCTCCAAGAGGATCTGACATCTGCCTCTGTCAGAAGCTGCACTAATGTGCACACACACACACACACACACACACACACACACACACAGAGAGAGAGAGAGACTCATAAATAATATAAATCTTACATTTCCATTTTCATGCATATGGTGTGCATGCATGTGTATGTTTGTGTGCATGTGTCTATGAGCATATGTGTATGTACATGTGCATTGGCTTCAGCATGATGTTCAGAATCATCTTTGATTGTTCTTCTGCCTTGTTCCCTGAGGCAGGATCTCTGAAGCAAACCCAGAGCTCCCAATATACCTAATCTAGCGAGTCACGTGCTGTGAGAATCCCATCCTTACCTTCTGAGTCCAGAGTGACAGGCCACAACACCCATGCATGTTTTATGTGGGTCCCAGGGATTCCAATTCTGGTGTTCTTGCTTGGTGGCAAGCACTTAGCCGCTGACCCACCTCTGTGGCCCCTAACTCCCATTTTAAATCAGCTTATGTGTGTTTGCCCGTGTGTATACATGGGGTTTGCATGTATGGGTATGTAAGCACATTTGAATATGTATATGTAGAGGTCAGAGTGTCACTCTTTAGGCACCACCCCCCTAATTTTTGAGACAGTGTCTTTCATTAGGACTCAGGATTCATGACGGATGACCATTCTCCATGGGACGCTCCTGTCTCCACTGCTCCGGTGCTGGGATTATAAAACTATGCTTCAGTGTCTGTGGCTTTATTTTTTCTCAAGCTTTCATCCTGGCAATCCGTATTATCATTCTCATGCTTGCAAGGCAAGTACCTCATTGACCAAACTGCCTCCTGCTCCCCAAGCACCCATGGAGCGTAGCTCTTACCACAACTCTAGGCAACAAAGCTAGTGGGAGAGTCTCCTTTCTCCAGCAGTTGTTACTGCTTATATAAAGTCGGGGAGGTGCCTTGTAAATCTTGTTGAGTTTCAGGAACTTCATGAGACTTGCAAGTTTTATTTTCTTCCTGGGTCTCAAGAGCCTTGCTCCAGAAAGTGTTTCTGTGAGGAGGAAGCAACGACAGAAAGCACAGTAAGCCAGATTAAAAAGACGACTGTTCCAGCCAAGCCTGTTGGAACCGGTCTGTCATTCCAGCTCTTTGGAGGCTGAGGAAAGGTGATAGCAGAGTCACAGTTTGCTTTGTGGAATCGTAAGCTGTCTAGTTGTGGCGCTTTGAACGAGAAATGGTCCCCATAGGCTCATGTAGTTGAACACTTGGTCTCCAGTAGGTGGCGCTGTTTGAGGCGGTTATAGAACCCTTAGGAGGTGGAGCCTTGCCGGAAGAAGTCACTGGGGACCTGCTTTGAAAGCTTGAAGCCTTGCCCCACTTCCTGTTCACTCTACTTCTCGTTTGTGGTTCAAGATATGGTCAGTCAACTTCCTGCTCCCATATAGGTCTGTCTGCTTCCATGTCTTCCCACCATGATGGGCTCCTATCTCTTTGAACCGTAAGCCCAAACAAACTCTTTCAAAGGTCACTTTTGTTCACAGTGTCTCATCACAGCAGATGACAAGTCACTAACCCACGCACCTGCCTTCACGTTTCTGCTTTGAGCTCCCTCCCCGACTTTCCTCTATGGGGGACCGTGACCTCATAGTGTAAGATGAAACAAGCAGTTTCCTCCCCTAACCTGCTTTTGATCAGAGTGGGTTGTTTCTGTTTTGAATCACAGCGACATGCAGGGAACCAGAACAATCCGGTAGGGGACTACTTGCGCAGTCTGTACATGGGGTTTTGTTTGCCTTTCTCCTGTCCCCTGCATGACGGGTTAGGAGGACAGCGACAATGGAGACCCATATGGTGAATGAGGTGCAGCTGTGGATGCCGCTTGTCTTCTCTCTGGTTCGGCACGGAGCTGCCGGATCAGGGGCACACATTGTCTAAACAGTCTCTGATGGTTGATGACTCACTGGGTCTCCGCAGGCCTGATGCGATGATGCTGTCTCTTCTAGCCACAGTTCTGAAATTGCCAGGGCTAAAAGCCTCCAGCAAAACCTCTCTTCCGTTTGCTCCCATCCTCTTCTCAGACGGGCATTGAGGGACAGTTTCCTACTGAATGCTTTTTATTTTATTTTAATTTTTGCTTTCCTCTGGAGACAGGGCCTTGCAAGGTTGTATCCCCACTGGCCTCAAGTTCAGGATAATCCCTTATGCCTCAGCCTCTGGAATCATGGGATTACAGATGACACACCCCAATGAGCCTGCCTTAGTAAAATGTTAACGGGTATCGCTGTTTATAAATCTAAGAAGGTGCTGCTGCTTTTTTTAGTTTTAAAAGTCCTGGGGCTAGAGAAATGGCTCAGCGGTTGAGAATGCCTGCTGCTCTTGCCGAGGACCTGGGTTTGATTCCCAGCACCCACATTGGGCAGCCCATCACCACCTGTAACTCATGTGCATGTGTCTCCATACAGACACAAACACATGCACATGATTAAATCTTTAAAAAAAAAATACACTGGAAGGGGTCTTTTTGTTGGCAAACTCTTGCTATGAGTCCGAGCTAATCTTGACCTCAGGGCCATTCTGCTGTTTCACCCTTTTAAGGGCTAGGATTATAGAGGTGCACCAACATACTCTGCCTTGGTAAACACTTCAACCAATACCTCTGTTTATGAAATTAAGATGGTTTTATTGGCTTTTAATTGTTTTTGAAATTTTGCTTTGAGATAAGATCTTCGCCCTAGTATTGTAGAAATTGCTATTTGGAAAGTTGTGTGTGTGTGTGTGTGTGTGTGTGTGTGTGTGTGTTTGTATGTGTGAACGTGCACATGTGCACATATGAATTATTGATATAATTAAGTACCCGACAAAAGCAACTGAAGGAATGAAGGATTTATTTTGATTTTGGCTCACAGTCCACCCTGGTGAGGAAGGCATGGGGAAGTGTGAGGACACTTGGTCACATGACATCCACAGGCAGGAAGCAGAGAAAGATGGATGCTGGTGCTCAGCTCACTTCCTCCTTTTCATCAGTCCAGGATCCCAGCCTATGGGACAGTGCCACCTACATTTAGGATATGTCTTGCTGCCTCAGTTAACCGAATCTAGAAACTCCCTCTTAGATATGCTTAGCAATGTGTCTCCTAGATGATTCTAGAGCACTTAGTGCAGCATGGACCCCTTAACTGCTAGCTTCCAGTCCACAGAGTATTTTCACAATATTGAAGATCCTGTCTGATTACACATGGGTTAGAGCTCCGTAGGACCCTGTGTAGTACACTCTTCAGGGAGCTCAGGAAGACACACTGCCCCGTAGGACTCTGTGGGACACTCTTCAGGGAGCTCAGGAAGACACACTGCCCCGTAGGACCCTGTGGGACACTCTTCGGGGAGCTTAGGAAGACACGCGGCCCCGTAGGACCCTGTGCAGGATACTCTTTGGGGAGCTCAGGAAGACACGCTGCCTGTAGGATCCTGTGGGCCACTCTTCGCTCAGGCATTTGCTCCATCTGCTGTGTAAAGATTCTCGATTTACACCAGTTTTCTTGCACTTTGTCCCAATCACATGACTTCTGCGGTCAGAACATTGAAGCAGATATTTAGAGGGGTTCTACCAGTTTTCTGAACCAGAGGCTTATTTAACCAGTTAATTCATGGACACCTATCATGATAAAATGCTTTTGACTTGATTTAATTTTGGGCTCTGGTTCTTTCAATCCACTTGAAGTGTGGAGTTCCCGGTGGGTGTGAACGACCATGTGGGTGCTAGAAATTGAACCCCAGGCCCTCTGCAAGAGCACCAAGTTCTCTTAGCTAGCAAGGCATTGCTCTACCCCTTTATTTCCCTTATTATCACTTTAATAGAGTATCTTTACTCTGTTTATTGTTTTTCGACAATGTCATACATATAAACAATACATCTTGATCATATGCATGCCACTTTCTTCCTCCCATTCCTCCCAGATGGCCTCTGACCTGTCCCCCTCCTCCCTCGTGTCCTCTTTTTTTTCCTCCCCCACAGTTCCATCACTGCTGCTGTAGGATTGTTGGCCTATAGTGTTGGCTAGGTCTTGTTCAAGTAACTACATTAATTATTTTTTTGCCGGGCGATGGTGGCACACGCCTTTAATCCCAGCACTCGGGAGGCAGAGGCAGGTGGATCTCTGTGAATTCGAGACGAGCCTGGTCTACAGAGCTAGTTCCAGGACAGGCTCCAAAGCCACACAGAAACCCTGTCTCGAAAAAAAAAAAAAAAACCACCCCCCCCCCAAAAAAATTATTTTTTAAGGCACAGGTTTTCTTAAAGATTCATTTTTTTGCTGAACACTGTGCTGCTAATTATATGAAAATAATGACTAACTGTGAAAAGAGTAAAGTTTTAAAAATGCCCAGTCAGGGGGGAAATGCGCGTCTTTTGGCATTTTATTACTAACGCTGGGGCGGGAAGTTTTTGGGCTGCCAAGTTTGGGAGATGGATGGATTGACTGGACTCTTAATGAGGCCCTTTGAGCCAATCTGCTTTTAAGAAATTAGACTGTAGTTTTATATCCTTCCTTCCTGACTTTTGGACCCAAGTATCCACCAAAGCAATTTGGTCCCAGGTTGACTCTAATTAAGTTCCTCTTCGAGGTGGAGCATGTGCAATGGCCGATATTTTTTATGGGGGTGACGCCAA